AAGTGACTGTCATTCCCTCCTTTCAAGGACAGCTGAAACTGCTGCCCAGAGGAAGGCCCTCCTGCCTGCCCCCCTTATTCCTCACCCTTGGTGGGTCCATCCCTAAATGCATTAACAGGTGCTATTGTGAGGCTGTGACTTCTGACAATATGAGACTGCCAAAGAAAAAGATGAATCGCCAGGACCATTAACCCAATCCAAAGCTGAGAGTATTTCTCAGGAGGGCAGGCTAATACCTCCCTCAGAAGACAGGCTCTGGGGCTGAGGGTCCAAGGACTCAGTCAGACCCATGCCATTTCCCGTAACCTCAAGGAAGAGGCGTCTAGTCAGGCAGAGGTGACTGATACCGGAATGAACAGCTGCACATCCTTGTTGGGCCCCATCCTGTGCTTTGATATATTTCTCTGTTGCTGACCTCAGGCAGGCTTTACTCCAACTCTGTGGCCCCCTCAGGTGGCTCCAGACATATACCTGTACCAGCCCCTATCCACAGCCTTCATGATGGCTGGAGAGGATGCTGTTAGTGGAGAAATCAAATAGCACAAACCGTTACCCCTCTACTCCAAATCCTTCCCAGCAGGCCCTTGGCACCCACCAAAGGGGAGGGGGGTGGGGAAGAGATGATGCTGGAGACAATTTGGATTCTGAAAGGTCAGAGCGCCCGCACGCATGCACACACACACACACACACACACCTGAAGAGGACTGTGAGGGTCCTGAATGGCCAGGGCTAATACTTCCAGTGATCCATTCTTTCTCTAATGCTCCCCAGGGTATCAAGGCAGCACTTTCTGCCAATCTGCTGTTGTCCAGAGGGGAAGGGTGATCCTGGATACTGCTTCTAGACTACTCACTGCCCTACCCCAGCAGCTCCTGACTGAACCCCGTTCTCCTGTCCCCCTAAGTACCCCCCAAAGCTGTTCTATTGCTCCTAGGGGAGAAATTAAAGTGGGGGGCCTCCCCTCCCCCATCAAAGACTTCCTCAGCCTCCTGCACGTGCAGGCTCCCATTGTCTATCACTAAAGCTGGGTGACTCACTCCCTGCCTGGCTGCCTTGTTCTTCCCTCCTCTTTCCTCCCCTCCCCAAGGGAAAGGGCCTAATTATAGCTCCTCCTCGGCACTTTTTTCCCCCTGAAATTTCTTCTTTTAAACAAAAATTTCCTGGGTTGTGGGAATAAATTCAGTGAAAAGTGCTGCGCTGGCTTTCAGACTGCTCGAGTGGATGTGGGTCTTGGGGGAGGGGGTGGATGTGAGCCCCCCACCCCGTCCACTCCACCAGTCCTTTGCAAAATGAAAGGACCCTTGGTGGGCAGGATAGTAGGTCCTTGAGCTTCAAGGCAGTTTAGACACCAAGTGGGAGAATGTGTGAAGGATTTTAAAGGTTGGGGGGTTGTCAGACCATCAGGAACTCTCCTGGCTGGCTCCCTCTTACCTGGCCAGACACAGAGTGGACCAAGCCTGGGTAGATAGATAGGAAGGGGGAGAGAGACAGAGACAGACAGAGAGAGAGAGAGAGAGGCAAACAGAGACAGAGACAGACAGTCAGAGGCAGAGGCAGAGAGAGAGGAAGGTGGGAAAACAAATCAGTAGGACCCAGAGAAGGATAGTCATGGCCCCAGACTCCTCTTCTCTCTGGAGGTAGCTTGGTACTAAGGAAAGAATACTGGCTTTGCTGGCAAAGCCTTTGCATTCAAATTCTGCCATGGATGCTTACTCCCTGGGTGACCTTGGGTGACTTCACCTCTTAGGCCTCATTGTGCTCATCTGTATGTGGCAGGGGATCCCCCTCACCCCTCTCTCACACACACACCCCCTCTAGCACCTCAGGGCTAAGCCTGAACAGGAGCCAAAGTGCTCTCACCTCGGTCCACAGAAACAGCCCCAGGCTAGGAGTTTGGGAGACTCCTCCACTCCAATCCTGTCCCCCTCAACGCACGTAAAATAAGAGGGTTAGAGCAGCTGACCTCTGAGATCCCTTCAGCCTCTAATCTCCAATCCTCGAACAAGAAGATTACAGTGTATTCATTCCCTCTGACTCTCCAAGCCTCCCCTATACCCTGAGTGGCTTCTGTCCTCAGTCCAGGCCCAGCCCCAGCTCCATGCAGGTCTGTCGGCTCTAGCCCGTCAGCGTGTA